AATACTATTGTGTTTGGCTGGAAGTCGGGGAGAGGGAAGGGAGCCTAGAAATGTAGGTTATGGACAGAGTATAGAAGGCCTTAAAAGTCAGACTAAGGAATGTTTCTGATAATACTGATGGTTTGTGCAGAGGGTGGTGGCAAAGTCAGAGCAGGAAAATAATCTGGGAGCAGGATGGGAAAACAGTAGTGGTAGTGAGACATTGTTAGCCTGTGACCCCTAAGTGAACAGCAAGAGTGTTCCATGCTGGGAGACCAAAACCCTAAGTGGGTTCCCATGCCTACCTAGCTCTTGGCCCCGAAAGACTCCAGCACAGAAAGATCAAGCTCGTGGCCATGTAAGGACAACAGGACAGTAGTCCCAAGTCCCAAAGGAAAGATGACCTCTATTGTTCTCCATTGTTTCTAAATGGCAGCATGGCTAGCAGGTTGGTGCAATGGCAGACACAAAGGCTCAGAGATGAGAAGGCTGAGTTCTGGTCCTGGTTCTGCCACTAGCTGAATTTGGGACCTTGACCACATCTGGGAAATCAGGCCCACTTGTTCAACTCTAGAATAACTGGTATTGCTTCATTCTGGCTCCAGGAAAGCAGCTCCAAGTTCACAGGGTACACCAAGGGTAGAATATTTGTAGGGACACACTACAGGTTTTTTGGGTTATCCCTGTCTTCCATCCATATTCCCCTCCAGGGAATTCAGTCTTCCTCCCTCCAGCTTCCTCCTCTTGGACAACAACACTTACCAAAACTTGGAAATAAGAGAAGTGGTATCTAAGAACACGTGTCTTCCCACAATAAGAAGCAGGAAGAGAAGGTTTATTAAAAATAAACCAAATCCAGGCTCTTGTGAACCTGGGTGGAGACCTGGTTGGCCAGCAGTGTGGCAAGACCTAGGGACTCTTGGGCCCAGAGTCAGTGACATAGCCACAGAGGACTAGAGTGGAGAGTGAAGCATCCAGCTGATAAGAAGAGAGGGCATATGCACAAGAACACCCACACTTGCAGATAATACCTACTTGACCTGACTTCAATGACTGGGTGATCAGAACTCAATTAGAAGAAGAAAGAAGAGGGAAAAAAAGAGTAATCTGACACAATTTGATGAACTTGACCTACACCTATGGATGCAGTAGCTCAAAAGAGGGAACAAATCTTTACAGCAAGGATCATTCCCACCCCCTCAATACACAGAGTAGGCAGGGATCGGCAATTTGGACATTGGGTACCCAAAATGGGGGACTACAGAGGCAAAAATTGACTGGCTTAGAAGCTTTCAAGAGGGAACCTAGATCCAGAGGGTGTGGAGGAAGGTAGAATCTCCACTGAGTAGTATCAAATCTGTCAAGGCGGGGCTGATGAAAGGAAATGCAGATAAGTCTCTTGTGATACAATAGTGAATAATTGTTATTAGGACTGATTGCGAGGGCTGGAAATGTAGAGGTGGACATTTTGTAGCAAGGAGGGGAGTAACTAACTTTGTAGTCTAGGAACGGAGGTCCCTGGGACCATCAAGGGAAAAGAGCAGACCCTACCCAGAGAAGCAGTGATGCCTGAGATGGAGGCAAAGAGGATGACATGGAGAGATGGAGCAGCTGGGGACTCTAGACCCAGAGAGGGGGAGGGGCTCTGTGCTGACAACAGAGGGGCAGGCTTGTAGTGCATACCCTTTGGTTGGTTGATGAAGCATGGAGAGGACTGTAAACATGGCAATGAAATGATATACGATAGGATGAATGCAAAACTAATGTTCTCCCATGTAAATTATCACATAATTCACAATAAAACTTTTTTTTTTAAATAAATAAACCAAATCCTTGTGCATTGCTGGTGGGATTGTAAAATGGTGCAGCCACTATGAAAAACAGTCTAGCAGTTTCTCAAAAAGTTAAAGATAAAAAAACTTTGTAACCCAGTAATTCTGCTCCTAGGAGAATTGAAGGCAGGGACTTCAAACAGATAAGCTATAAACCAATAATCGTGGCAACATTACTCACAATAGCCAAAAGGTAAAAAAAGTGAGCATCAACAGACAAATGAATAAACAACATGTGGTATATCCATACAATGGAATACTGTTCCGCCATAAAAAGAAATGAAGTTCTGATGCATGCTATAGTATGGATGAACCTTGAAAACATTATGCTGAGTGAAATAAGTCAGACACAAAAGGGACAAATACATAATGGAACTTATATGAAATACCTAGACTAGGCAAATTCATTAAGACAAAGTAAATTAATTGGTAGTTACCAGGATCTGGGGAAGAGGAAACTGGGCAGCCATGGCTGAGCAGGTACTGAGTTTCTGCTTAAGGTAATGAAACACTTGTGGAAAGAGATGATGCTGATGGCTGTATCACATGGTGAATGAAATTAATGTCATTGTAGATGTAAGAATGTTTGAAATAGTACATGTTCATTATATACATTTTATTACAATAACTTTTAACTGCCCAAAATGGCACATTAAAAAATTTTTTTTGAAATTTTAAAAATATTTTGAATGGTAAAAAAATTTTTTTAAACAATCAAAGCAGATATTTAAATAGATCAAATGTTTAAAGATCTACCCACAAAATTGCTCACGGCATCTTTGTTCCTAATAAGAATACAATTTTTTTTAGGAAAAAAAAAGGGGGAAACAGCTTACATGCCTGTCTGTAAGGGATTTAAACCAAAACCAATGCCACTGCCATCAAGCTGATCCTGACTCATACAGGACGGAGTAGAACTGTCCTAAAGAGTTTCCAATGCTGTAATTTTTGTGGACTGCCAAAAGAACCAACAGATCTGTGTTGGAAGAAGTGCAGCCAGAGTGCTCCTTAGAGGCCAATATGGCCAAACTTCATCTCTCATACTTCAGACATATTGTCAGGAGGGACCAGTCGCTAGAGAAGGATATCATGTTTGGTAAAGTGGAGGGTCAGAGAAAGAGAGGAAGACCACCCCCAGCAAGATGGATTGGCAAAGTGGCAGCATCGATGGGCTCAAGCCCATGGATTGGTAACAATAGTGACGTTGGCCCAGGATCGGGCAGCGTTTTGTTCTGTTGTGCATACAGTTGCTATGAGTCGGTACCGACTTGATAGCACCTAACAACAACAAGAAACAATTTTTGTGGATGCAAAATGCTACATTTTTTTCCTGTGGAACTTCTGGTCTTTCGATTAGGAGCTGAACACTTAACCACTGAGCCCCCAGGGCTTCCCTTTAAGGGACTAGTTAGATAAATTATAGCTGAGTTGTACATTGGACCATACTGCCACAAAAGACTAAGACAAACCACAATGTATAGCATAAAATGATGCCTATAACATATTGTTAGTGAAACACACAAGTTGCACAAGAACATTTCAAATTAAATTCCTTTTTCATTTTTGAAATCTACGTGCACATCACCCAAGCACATTAAAACTGGAAGAAACCCACAAACAGATAGCAGTGAGTGTCTCTGGAGCTGAGATAAGGAGGGATTTTTGTTTCCTACTTTATACATTTTGAACTACTGGACTTATTCTTTTTTTTTTTTTTAAACAACCAGCAGTATTAGTTTAATAACCAGCAAACACAGTTTTAAAATTCCCATCCTGAAAATAAAAGAACTATTCTAGATAGATGCAAAGTACTATTGGCCCTCAGTGAAAAGCAATCCAAATAAAAACCACCTTGCCATAAAATCATACTGGAGCACATGCATGCTCACACACTCACCTGCATGCATACACACAGACACAGAGAGACAGAAAGAGCGAGCGTGCACGCTGGGGATGATACGTGATTCACTTCAGCACACAGCTCATTCCCCGCACTCTCCACTTTAACTTTAAACCCTCCTAGATCAGTGGTCTCTCTGAAAACACTAATATTAATGAGGAGAAGGAAGCAGAATTGCTATTTGTTGAGCATATATTATGTGCTATTTATTCTGTACTGGGCAAATATCCTCTCCTTTTGTCCTTGTAACATTTTTTAGTGGTAAGGATCATTACTAGTCCCATCTGACAGATGAAGAAATTGATGTCCAGCGTTTCTGAGACATAGTTCAAGGATTCAAGACCAAGCAGCCTAATCCTAAAGCCTGTGACTGTAAGCAATGCTTTATCCAGCCTTCCAGGAGTAAACCCTTGGAGCTCACGATCTCCTCTTAGGTCCCAGCAAGATGGCGCCAGGATCTTCCAAACAGTGTATCTGCCTCTTCCTTCTGTCCTTCCCAACAGTGTTGGTTAGTGCCTTCTAGCTACGAGGTGCTGGACCACCTCTAGGGTCTCCAAAACTGACTGATGCGGGTTCTACCCTCTATCAGCTCACAGGGAAGAAGGAAGGAGAAGGAAGCCACTCAAGTTGTTAGACCAAAAGACTGATCATGTCCGCCCTGTGGGAGACAAAGGAAGACCTGTTTGGCTTGTCTTCACTGCTGCATCCGCAGGCACCTGGCCTTGCCAACAGCTGGGCATATAGATGGCCTGCTGGGTGATCACTGTCCAGTCTTTCTCTGGCATTTCTCAGTCACATTTGCCAACCCCGGGACCCACAGCTGGACTGTGGCAGATCCCCCAAGGACAGAGATGGGGGCAATCCTGAGCATTCACAATGGTGACTGCTGAGCAGGCCCAGAGGGTATGAGTGAGGTCCCCAAGCCAGGGTCACCAAGACCCAAAAGGCCTTAGTGGATCCTGCATGGGCAACTATCCTGCTTTCTGATTTAAGATTGTTCCACACAGAGTGTAAGTTGGTACAACCACTTTGGAAAACCATTTGACAGTTTCTGGTAAAGCTAAACTTACACATATCCTATGACCTAGCAATTCTCCTGGGTACATCTCCAGTATAAACAAGTGCTTGTATCTACCAAAAGATATGTACAAGGATGTATGTAGCAGCTTTATCTGTAACCTCCAGGAACTGACTGCCAAATGTCTGTGAACAGAAAAATGAATGGACTCAGGTACATTCATCCAATACTGTACAGCATCTGGGGCAGAGAAAGGGGATGTGTTACTTACCTGGGCTATGTTTTGTTTTCTCCGCTGGCTGCTTGGCCCAGTCACTGACCTTGTCAATGTGAAATAACTTCAGGTCATCTTCATCTAAAGCAATGTCTCCCCAAAAGGCAGCTGGGAAGAAAAAACATAAGTAGGTCAATTTAAGTTCAAGGTCAAGAAAATGGATTTAGGAATGCCCCAAAGGGCACTTAGGTTGTGTCAGGAAACGCTGGAAACAGCAGTCCATCTATCTAATCAAATTTCCCACTCAGCTGCAGAGAGATGGCTAGTAGAAAAACAGCAACAATGGCTTCTGTGCACCACCCCATAGGGCTGGGACCTGACCACCAAGAGAATCAAAGTCCTAGGTCTATAAGGTACTTTTAATGACCCTTCATCTCACCCTAGTTAAGCAGCTAGGGACAATACCACCGCATAAAGACAATGGTTTCTCTCTTCTTCAGAATCTCCAGGATAATCAAATACGTGCATATTTACATATACTGAAAGAATACTGTCACAAATTATATTATTGTTCACAATATTTGCTGCTCTCCCCTGAGGGAAGGTTAACCTCATATATTCCTGGCCAATCAATATCAGGATTGGCCACATGACTTGCTCTAATTGAAAGTCTGAGGAAGGTTGAATTCATGATGTTCTGTTTTCCCTTTCCCAGAGACAAGCTATGTTCCAGATGTTTTTTCTGTCAAGTTGATTCTAATTCCTTGAGACCCTCTGGGTGTCAGAGTAGAACTGTGCCAGAGTTTTCAATAGATCTTTCCGAAGCAGATTGTCAGAACTTTCTTCCAAGGTACTGCTGGATGCACTTGAGTCTCCAGCCTTTCGTTAAGCAGCCAAGCACACTAACTGTTGACATCACCTAGTGACTCCTCTTTATGCTGACTGATACAGAAATTGGTATCAGAAGTGATACAATATTATAACAAAATTCCATTGGCTTTGGTTCAAGTGGTGATTGGCAAGGCAATCATGACTGGAGGCTGGAAGGTGATGTGTGGTAAGCAGTGATGACCCTTGGTACAGATGTTGACTGTGTGTTAACTCGCAAGGTAGATGCAGACAGGTGTACCTACAGGAAATCGCACCTAAGGCGAACATGGAAATCACACCCCTGTCCAAACATCTGACTGCCCACCCACGCAACCAATGCCTCTGAGTTGATTCTGACTCATAGGAACCCTCTAGAACAGAGTAGAACTGTCCCTTTGGATTTCAGAGACTGTAAATCTTGAGGGGATCAGGAAGAAGATAGCCTCTTCTTTCTCCTACAGAGCAGCTGGTGAATTTGAACCAAGGACCTTGTGATTAGCAGCCCAACTCAGAACCCACATGACGCCCAAACATCCGACACATATCTTATTTAGCATCATCTTTCACCTTATACAATTAAACCAATGACCAATACTCTGCCAATTATTCATGTTCATGGAAAAGGCCATTAAACAACAACAACAAAAAATCGAGTCTCTTGAGAGTCACTCCCATCACCTAAGGTAATGTTCCCTTCAGTCTGGTGGAAGGTTACATTAGGAGAAAATAGTCCTTAACTTCTAGAAATCTTTCAGAGGAAAGGAGGGAATCTGATGGGCACTTGGGTGGAGTACTGGGCCCTGGCAGGATACTGGGGGTGGACAGAGGTTGGGCATTGAGATACAGAGCCACAGGGCCGAGGGAATGAATCTGGAGGGACCTAATTAGAGACAGAGGTAGGACGAAGAAAACCCTGAAGTCAGGAAACCAAAACCACTGTTCAAGTATAGTGATTGTGAGGAGGGCACAGGACAGGGCAGTGTTTCCTTCTGTTGTGCGTAGGGTCGCGATGAGTCGGAACTGACTCCACGGCTTCTTAATAACAACAACAGTGAGGAATGTGGAATCAAGGCTTAACTGCAAGTGGGCACAAGAGAATTTTTGGAGATGATGGAAAAGTTCTAAAGCTGGATCATAGCGACAATTCCACAAATATAAATTTACAAAAATCATTCAATTTTACATATACAGCAGGTGTGATAGTTAAGGTTTTGTGTCAACTTGGCTGGGTCAAGATTTGGTAATCCCCCACAATGAGATCTGAAGAAGCCTCCAGCCTGACATCTGGCCTATGGCCTTGAAATGTTTCCACCTCTACAGCTGTGAACCATTTCCTTGGTACAAACCTATCTGTATACACACACACACAAGTTTTGCTTCTCTGGAGACTCAAACCTGGGGCAACAGGTGAATTTTACAGTATGTCAATTGTTGCTATGTGCCTTCGAGTCAGTTCCGAACCTGTAGTGACCCTGTATAGGGTTTTTCAGGAGGGGCTGGTGAGTTTGAACCACCAACCTTGTAGTTAGCATTCCAGTGCTTATCCACACCAGGACTCCCTCCATAAATCTGTTTAAGAGAAAAATTCACCCTATGGCTAGGAACAACCAAACTGATGCCCAGTAAATGTTTTCAGCTGAAGGAAAAAAAAAAAAAAAAAGTTCAGACAAAGGAGACTACAGTGTAGTTGTAATGGAGGATTTAATTAAGCTCAAGACTAACCTGTGGCCATCCAGTTTATTCTAACTTATAGTGACTATATAGGACAGTAGAATTGCCCCCAACGAGTTTCCAAAGCTGTAATTTTACAGATGCAGACTTCTACATTTTTCTCCCAAAGAGCAGCTCATAGGTTCAAACTGACAACCTTTCAGTTAGCAGCCAAATAAGTACTTAACCACTGTGCCACCAAGGCTCCTTCAAGTGCAAGGTAGCAGTAATTAGGTCAAGAGAGAGAGTGGCTGTGGCCACGCACGTGGAGCTGCGTTAAATAAGAAATAGCTACCTTTTGCCTTCAAGTCGAGTGGATTCCAACTCAGGGCAATCCCACTCATGCCCGAGGAGAACTATGTTCCATAGGACTTTCAATGGCTGATTGTTCAATAGATAGCCAACTTGTTCCTCCAAGGTGCTTCTGGGTAGACTCTAGCAACTGAGTTTGCTAACCATTGTACAATCCAGGGACTCCAAAAAAATTACTAACTCCTGAGAAAATATAGTTCCAAACCAGTCACTCTCCTGGACCACAAGAGATTGCAACTGTTTGAGACTTAAAATGATGCTTGGGCTCCCAACCTTCTATGGAAAGGAAGCAGGCGGAAAGAGTTGCTCCTGAGGAGGTCATATTCTCCAATGTCTTCTTCATGTGTTAGGTGCTGTTGAGTTGGTTCATAGTGACCTTATGCACAACAGAACAAAACATTGGGTGTATCCTGTTAATATGTAAGCTCTTGAAAGAGCTGATGGTATTGTAGGAAGAAGTCCAAGATGCACGGAAGGCATTGATGGAAAAAAAGCCTCCAGGAATTACCAGAATACAAATTGAAATGTTTCAACAAGGTGACAGTGCTGGAAGCATTCACTGCTCTCTGCCATGAAACTTGGAAGATCTGGCCAACCAACTGGAAGAGATCCATATTTGTGCCCATTCCAAAGGAAGGTGACACGGTGGAATGCAGAAATCACTAAGCAATATCATTAATATCGCATGCAAGTAAAATGTTGCTGAAGATAATTTAAAAATGTTTGCAATAGAACATTCAAGCCAGATTAATGAGACGACATGGAACTAGGAATATCTTTGCTGATGTAAGATGGATCTTAGATGAAAGCAGAGAATACCAGAAAGATGTTTACTTGGGTTTCATGGCATTCGGCTGTGTGAATCATAATGGATAACAATGCGAAGAATGGGTATTCAAGCAGAACAAAGGGATAATGAATGGCTTAAAATTGGGAAACGTGTGTGTCAGGATTGTATCTTTCACCATATTTATTCAATCTGTATGATGAAGAAATAATCTGAGAAACTGGATTATAGGAAAAAAGTAGCATCAGGATTGGAGGAAGACTCACTAGCAACCTATGATATGCAGATGACACAACCTTGCTTGTGGTAAGCCAAGAGGAGTCGAAATACTGATGAAGATCAAAATCAAAGTCTTCAGGATTGCACCTCAGTGTAAAGAAAATGAAATGTCTCACAACTGAGCCAATAAGTAACACCATGAGAAACAGCGAGAAAATTGAAAGTGTCAAAGATTTCATTTTGCTTGGATCCACAATCAACACTCATGGAAGCAGCAGTCAAGAAATTGAAAGATTAGGAACACACAAATAGAATGTGGGACCTTATCCAGAGAAGCAGCAGCACCAGAGATGGAGGTAAAGATGGGGGCATGGAGGACTCTAGATTTATCAACTAAGAAGAGAAGGACTAAGAACTGGTGGCCAGGAGCAGACTTGCAGAATGTGCCCTTTGGAGAGGTATATATGCCTGAGTGGGGTTTTTTGTTTGTGTGTTTTTTTAAAAAAAGCTAAAGTGGATAAAGAGAAATACTTTTAACTGATGGTATATGGAGGGGATTATAATCAATGTAATGAAACAAGTTATATGAATTGTTGAATGTGAAACTGATGATGTGCCCTGTAAACTTTCACTCAATCCACAATAAAAACCTTAAATTTAAAAAAAGAAAAGAAATTGAAAGATGTGTTGCATTAGACAAATCTGCTGCAAAAGACCCCTTTAAAGTGTTAAAGAGCAAAGGTATCCCTCCCTCTAAGGACTAAGATGTGCCTTATGCCAGCCATGATATTTTCAATTGCTTCAAATGCATGTGAAAGTTGGACAATGAATATGGAAGACCACAGAAGAACTGATGTATCTGAATCATGGCGTTGGTGAAGAATATTGTAAGTACCATGGGATGCCAGAAGAGCACACAAATCTGTCTGGGAAGAAATACATCCCAAATGTCCTTAGAAGTAAGGAGGGCAGGACTTTGTCTCTTTTGCTTTGGCTATATTATCAGGGAGGACCAATTCCTGGAGAAGGACATAATGTTGGGTAAAGGAAGACCTCAAATAAGATGGACTGACGCAGTGGCAGCAACAGTAGGTTCAAACAGAACAATTTTGAAGCTGGCACAGGACTCGGCAGTGTTTCATTGTTGAATAGTGAGTCCCACTGGACAAGCGTCTTTATCTACTTTGTTCATTCTAGTAGTAACACCAGTGCCGAGAACAGTGTATAGTCAATGCTAAGAAAAAACTTCTCAAAAGGTTAATGAAAGTGG